ACACAACTTGCAATGAAATTGACAAGACAAAATGTAAGTGAAATATTTTTTTTCTTTTCTTCCATATTTCGATGATATCGCGCCATGTGTTATCTGAAAGATTTTTAATTAAAAAATTACTCCTACATTTCACCGTCGCTTAATTCAAAGTAAGCCGTCAATACCGGGCACATTTTTAAGTCCAAATTTTGATGCACATAGGCATAGATTTTTCCTCCAATAATTCTTTCACTCTTAAATTCCTTATCTTGCTTAGCAATGGCTGCAAATTCAACAGAAATTCTTCACGATTTTCATCCAATGATCCGAGTATACAAAGACGGAAAAGTCGAAAGATTTGTAGGAATAGATATTGTTCCTGCATCAGTAGATTCAGAAACTGGGGTTCGGTCCAAAGACGTCGTGATTTCACCGGAACATGATGTATCTGCTAGGCTTTACCTGCCGGGAAACATCGATCCCGGCCAGAAACTTCCACTTCTTGTCTATTTTCACGGTGGTGGCTTTGTGGCGGAATCACCCTCCTCTTCTACGTACCAAAACCACCTAAATTCACTCGTCGCCGAAGCCAATGTTGTCGCAGTTTCTGTGGGCTATCGATTAGCCCCCGAGCACCCCGTTCCGATTGCTTATGAAGATTCTTGGCTTGCACTGAAGTGGGTGGCATCTCAGTCCACGGGTGAGTATAATATATTAAAAGTTTAGAAAAAAAGCAAATTTATTTATTAAAATTGAGTCCACAACAAATCCTATCTAGGGGAGGATCGGATTCATTTTTTTGGCACCGATTTTAGATCGGTATTGTGTAATTTTGATCGATTCTCTTGACCCATAAAATCGGTTGGTTTTTTTTTAAGGTTCCTTATATTTTTCTAATTTTGTCATTTTATTTTCAATAAACATATTTTTGTTCAAAACTAAAATGTACTAACAAAAATTATTTATGAGCAAAAAAAAAAATTATAATTAAAAAAATTACCTATAAATAAAATAGATAAGAAAAATTACTTTTGCGTAAAAAAGTTGTTTATGAAATAAAAATATTATTAATAAGAAAAAAATTCAATTATAAATATAAGAAGTTACTTATAGGTAAAAATTCACTTATGAGCAAAATTATTTAGAAGTACAAATTAACTTATAATTATAAAGTTTACTTAAAAGTAAAAATTTTTAATTAAATATATAACTTTTTAAATTAAATATTAGCTTATATGTAAAAAAATACATATACAAGTAGAATCACTTATTAGTGAAAAAATTTCATACAAGAAATTATAAATCTAAAATTTCAATAATGGACATATATTAATTTTATTCATTTAAAAAGTTTCTACAACAAGTGGATAATAAACTCCTAATCGTAGATTAAACTTTACTAAAAATCGCTACTAAAATCACTCATAATTGATCAATTCATAATCCCTCAAAGCAGTCCGTAAAAGATTCTTTATATTGTCTCATGCTTATCAAGATTCTTGGCTTCAACTAAAATGTGTGGCATCTGAATCCACAGGTGATGGACATGAGCATTGGATTCAAGAAAATGCTGATTTTAATCATGTTTACTTTGGTGGAGACAGTGCTGGAGCCAACATAGCTCACAACATGGCCATAAGATTTGGTCAAGAGAAGTTGCCTGGGATCAATCTAGATGGAATTTTTCTCAACTGTCCATTTTTTTGGGGTAAAGATTCAATTGGGAACGAAGGGACATCCTTAGTATTTAAGAAGAGTTATGTTGATAATTTTTGGGCTTTTTCTTTTCCAAGCGCTACAGGTTTAGATGACCCTTTGATAAATCCTTCCATGGATTTGAATCTTTCAAAACTGGGGTGCAAAAAAGTGCTTATTTATGTTGCAGAAGAAGATATTCTTAAGGAACGAGGTTATCATTACAAGGAAGCATTGAAGAAATGTGGGTGGAATGGAGAGGTAGATATTGTAGATGTAAAAGGGGAGAACCATGTATTTAGTGTGCTTTTCCCTAACAGTGAAAATGGCAAGGCTATGCTGAAAAGAGTGGCTTCTTTCATTAATCAGTAGTCGTAATATTGAGAGAAGAAAAAAGAAGCTAAAACTCTCGTCTGTTGTATTGTCAAGTCGTGTTATATTGTGTATGTCTTATTTGCGACAAGTTGCTTCATATATTGTGTATGTCTTATTTGCGGAGCAATAGCTCGAGGTGCTCGTATGGGCTGCTAGTTCCGTAGCTTGTAATAATTTGGTGTTGAACGGAAATTTTAAAAGAAATTGTTAAAGAGTAATTCTTGAATTTCACTGGTATCTCTTTATAGTATGTAACATGTATGAATTTGTTGATTGGAATGTGTGAATATATGAATAAGTTAGTCTATGAGTAAAATAAACATATTCAATCAAAACAAAGTGAGGTTGGGAATCAATTTTAGAAAACTCACTTCTTAGACCACTCTAAGCATATAGGTTTTGCACTTGTTTTCTAACTTGAGCGTCAGAGCGTCCAAACTTGCATATTTGACAGTTCTTCTTTCGTCTTCATTTTATGTCTTACACCCACGACACAATTACTAAGCCTAATGTGTAGCAAGTTTATAAGACTCAAGTAGAAAGAACAATAATATGCATTCATTTGAATAATGAATCACACCACCGTTATTCGTAGCCACTCTTTATCTCACTTTATAGGTTGTACGCCCCACAATTAATTCTTCAAGACATCATACACAATCAAAGTCGAACTTGGATGCTATTATGCTAGATGTTGGATGCATATGGTGGCCTTTTTGGAGTGGATAAAATAGTGTTGAAATATGTATTTGATGATATATTTTATTTCTTCTAGATATTGAATTTATTTGTGTTGTTAGCTCAAGGTTTTATAAAAAAATATTCGATTTCAATTTGGGTTCGGATTCAGTAATTATGTAAACTAGAACGGTCCCGTTTATGAAATACTCGAGTGACTTCGAGTATTGAAATATTTGACCGATCCGACTGATGCTAGACATTGCTTACGAGTCCAAAAACCATTTTCCTTTGGTTTTCAATACCAATGGTTACAAATTTAACTGAAATACTCCATCATTTTTCCACATTGAAACGAACATTAAATGACAATTGTCGGAAGAAGTGCTGGAACACATATTGTTCCTGCATCAACAAATTTAGAAACTGAGGTTCAATCCGAAGTCGTCAAGATTTCACCGGATTTTGCTACATCTGCTCCACTCTACCTGCTGGCCGGAACTGCCAATCCCGGCCGGAAACTTCCACTCCTCGTTTATTTTCATGGTGGCGACAGGTGTTTGTACCATAACCATATGAATCCCCTCCTCGCTGAAACAAATATTGTTGTGGTTTTGGTTAGTTATTGATTTTCCTGGAGAACCCTGTTTCGATTACCTGTAAGGATTCTCGTTACTCTTCTCGTCTTCCAAAAATGATCTAGCTGCACGGTATTATTGTTAGAATTAGAAATTGAGTATAAAACTTTGTGTAGCTCTTACTAGAAAACCGTAATATAGAATTTCAATCTAGCTCTAAAAAAGGAAGATTGTCTAATAAAGAATAATGCTACTTGTAAATAATTGTGTACGTTTACATATTGATGGTATAGATAAAATTAACTTACTTCATTTTATTTTAATTGAATAATGCTATTTGCAGTAACTCACTATCTTAATAGTCATATGTTGCATACATGTGACGATTAATGATTTAATGCATAGAACAATAAAAAAAACTACTATATTAACTCATCAAATCACTAAGTACCAATATTTTGATATCTTCAACACCTCCAAACTCAATATGGTGCTGTAAATATCAAATCAAAGTTTGAAACATTTAATAGATTCGAGGTCATTTTATTTTGATTTGCTCATGAAGGCAGCTGGTTTTTTAGCTCAGTAGAAACAAAATCCTTTTTCCTTAGGATCTTCTCAAATAGAAACAAACCTTATTTCAAGGTATTTACATGGGATTCATCTTTAAGAAAGTCCCCGAAAAAAAGTTGACAAATAAGTCATCCTTACCGTTACCCTTGGTTTCTCATTTAAGAAAAAAAGATTGTCAAGAATAATTCTTGAATTTCTCTGGTATTTCTTGCATTTACTATATAGAACACTTTTGAATTGTGTATTTTTTTTGGATTGTGAGGAAGTTTGAATAAACCTTTTTGATCCCATTATCCAAAAACTCATTTTCGATATATTTTCACAATAAAATATTATACATGTAAATGAAAAAAAATTCTTACTTTTTAATCATATATTCTGCCAAAAAATTCACTATATCAAAATATATTTTCAACGAAAATGGAGTTCAAATACATCCTAAGTAGACACAACATTCATTTTGCATAGCATTAGACTAATTTTCATATTTGCGCAATGTTGTCAACATTCGTTTCGTAACTTTATGGTACGAGAGTCTACAATGAAATAATATTGACATTTCTCGTTACCTATCTAAGACCCGTTTGACAACAATTAAAATGAGTTTTTATTTTTTTATGGTAAATGAGTTTTGGAATAATGATTTTTTTTTTTTGGAAAATGTATGGTTAAAAAGTAAGAAATATTTTTTTGTTTGTCTGCAAAATATTTTATTATAAAAATGTGTAGTTGAAAATAAGTTTGAATTATGTATTTATTTATTTTATTTTGACGATTGTCAAAAGGGCTAAATATAACAAACTAGAAGAATGAGTCCGTGGCAATCCTAAATTTCTTTAATCATATTGCAATGAGGAAGATCGAGGAAAAGTAATAATTCAGTTTATTTTTCGTTGAAAAAATGAAGAAATGAGGAAACCATACAATTATTAGCTAACAAAAGGGTGAAATTTGTTGATTGCAAATTATTTTTACTCCTTCTTAAGCGGAGGTCATCGTGTAATTGTTTGAATATCAGGGGTTGTGATGTAATAATCTAAAATCTTGAGGGATGTGTGTGTAATTTTGTCAAATGAATGTCCTAAAAATTCGCATTATCTGAGCTGGCGCATACACAATCCCCTTCTGCGAACCACCACCACGAAGAGCTCGATAAATTTCTCTCTCTACTCGTCATCCCCAATACTCAACGGTCCACCCCATTTTCTTTTGAATTTCAATTTCCAGTTATCAAATTCTGGCTCTCGATTCGAGGTCCTGTTACGATGATCGGCGGTGTCAGCGGAGTAGTGGGAGGGAGAGTTTATTGGGTGAGAAGTCAGGATAGTAGTAGTATTGAAGTGTTGAAAATCAAAGGAATTGTTGTGATTTTCACGTGGATTTCCTCAATTACTGAAAGTCAATTGAAGGATTTTGTTAGTATCTACTCTTCTCTTGGATGGAACTCGCTCGTTTGCCTCTCCGATTTTCTCAATCCGTAAGTTCTTCCCACTCTAACTAAAGTTTTAAGCCTGTATATGTATTTACCTATCACTTTGTTGTAGTTGTGTTGATGGAATTTGTAGTATATTTTTAGAAGTAGAGTTTTCACTCCGGAGAAGCCTAGCAATGCTAACAAAGAAGGCCTGGAGCATTTTTGGCTTAGCTTAACTGCTAATAAACACGTCTAAATTGCAAGAGCTAAAAAAGAAGCCAATTTTCAGAAATAGGTGAAGCGAAACACGCTAGAACATCACTCGGCCTGGGGACTGTATAGATTCCACGGGACATTAGCATGGGCAGTGAAGATTTTTCCACTTGGGTAGCTGTCAATATTCTAAATTCTTTTAGGGAAATTAAGTGAGGATTCTTTCTTGGATTTGACATTGCGGAGTTATCTAAAGAACTACCTACGTAGTGGAATAAAATGAAAATTAGCTTCTTTTGAACTTTATCCCAAGAAGTTTACATTCTTTAGTCAATTCCTTGTTTTTCTAAAACTTCTCATTTCTTTTATTGAATTCCACTATGAGCTCATTTCTTTGAACAAATATTTCATGGTTGGTGGGTATTTTTATCTGCAGATTCATCCCAGAGAGGGCTACATCACTGGCATTTTCTGTACTTAATGAGCTTGTTAAGGTCAGTCTTATCACAATATCTTCATATGCAAAAAATGTGGCGATAATGGACAACGATTTAGTAAACTACTTTTAGTTTATTGTCTTGTTTCTTTCATGTCATATCCAGGAATATGAAGAATGCGTGAACGAAGTCATGCAAAGAAATATTAGTCTTTTTTCTTTTCTTTTCCCTTTTTTTTCCCTCATTTCCTCCTCCTCATTCTCCTGTTCTTTATGCTCTAGGTGTAATTGTTCTCTAATTGTTCTTTTTGTAGGTGTAATTATTCTCGAGTTTTCTTGTATATGCAGGAGCTAAGGAGTAGTATATGTCCTGTAGTCCTTGCAGCATCATCTGGTGGTTCAAAGGCTTGTATGTATAAGTTTTTTCAGGTAAAGCCAATGCACTGGAGCCATGGTCATTTTGATGCACATGAACATTCACTGAGCTGTGTGTTGGCATTTCTCGCACATAAATGATGCTGACACCATTTTGGCGAGGACTGTGTCACTAACTGTTCGTTGAAGAAATTATTTGTTATATTTAGTGAAATAGGATAAGAATACTCATTTTTTGTCATGACTGTCATCATGTATATAATTTATTTCACAACTAATGCAGATTATTGGAGGATGTTGTGAAGCGGAGCTCAATCTGGTAGACTTTGTTCTTTGTCTTCAATTAATGTTAATGTATTGTACGTGGTAGAGCACATATATTTATTTATTTGACTTATTTCTTGTTACATGAAGGAGGATAATAGATTGGTTATGCACTGCATCTCTGGCCAGATATATGACTCTGATCCCGTTGACTTTAGTAGTGATTTGGGTGCCCGATTGGCTTTAAACCACACTATCCTGAAGATGCCTGGTTTTGCAAAGCTAGTATCATTTTTTGCAAAAGGTGTCACTTCGAGTTTGGATGCTTTATTTCTCACAAGGTTTGGATCCCAACGTGTAGAGTACTGGCAAACTCTTTGTTCTTCAGTTGTAAGTTAATTGGACTGACATTTGCAGATTATATTATCTATACTTTAGTTATTTTGGCCTTTTTATTCTATTTTTTTTTTTACCTATAGGATTTGGGGGTCCCTTTTCTGATTTTATGCTCAGAAAATGATGATGTGGCTCCATATCCTGTTGTATGCAAATTTGCTAGACAATTACGAGATATGGGAGGCGATGTTAACATGGTGAAACTAAATACAGGTTCATCTTTAGCTTATGTTTATAGCTATATCAATATGTTGGATAAATTAAACTTGAGACATTGTGGCTCCTTGCTTTCAGTCTTTACTTATGTGCTTTCCTTTCATCAGTGACATCTTAGTTTAATGCTTATTCCTCATCACCTCTGTCACCCAGTGTAGAAGGCTTTTGGTGTGCTAAATGTAATTATTTCTGTGTAGAATTTTTCCTCTGGGTGGACTAATCCTTTTTTGTTCCTTTTTTTTCCATTCAACAGGTCCAACTAGTTCAGTTCAACCAGAAATAGTACTTTAAATATTAACTTCAAATGACCAAACAAAGGTTATTTGACTGCTGGATTTTTCGTGGCTAATCGTATACATGAAGACACCTAGTACTGCTTTAGTAAATTTATTTGCTGATCATTCAACTATTTCTTTCTTCCTTCTGTTGTTCTTCTCGTTATTATAAAGTCCTTACTCTTTTGGTTCTTTTGTGAAACTTGTACCCGAGAGGTGGGCAGTTTCCTCTCCGACTGGCCAAATTGGTCTTCTTTGGTTTCAAAATAATGGTTCCATCAAATTCGATTTTCAGATTTTAAAAAAAAATTTCCTGCTTTACTCTCTATAAAGGTCTTATCTAATGGTGTGTCATTTGACATTCAATGGTGCTCTACAATTCCAAGTCGGATATGAGACAGGCCACAAGAAGCATTCCTCAATTGTGCTTATTGTTGAAAATATAGTAGGTGATTTGGACGCTGACATCTAGATTGGTGTATGGCGCATAGCTGCATTTTGTTATCGATCCCTTAATGCTTGTCTATGTCGATTCTCACTTCCTGCAAGTTCCTAATGATTTCTTATTTCTAATCTAAGTACAATCTCACTTCCTGCAAGTTTCCAGTTCAGTTTCATGAGGCACACAATTTGCACTGATATGTTTTGCACTGCAACAGGTCAACACAAGCACCATTCAATCCAGTACACAACTTCTATCGCTGAGTTGCTTGAGCAGGCAATTTCTAATTTTTCCCACAAAATTCAGAAACTCGGAGAAAGAACTCCCGTGGATGATTTGCATGATGAAGTATCTGACATAATTTGTGACCTCCAGAATGCAGCAGTCGACTCAAATCAAAGCCTTAGAAGAGTTGCAGTTGGGCCAAACGACCACTTCTTCCTGCCAAGTTCAGCTGGCTATGTAAACCGCAGAGACTCTGGGTCTGTACCTGAGGAGCGGAAAGAAAGATCACCAAATCGGTCACACCCTTGTATAAATGCACATAGTGTTCTTGGCCAAGTATTATTTGACGTGTGTGTACCGAAGAACGTTGAAGGTTGGGATATTAAATTTGCCGGTTCCTTGAATGCAAAGCCACTTGCTTCTGTTCGCAAACGGTTACCATTTAATGCCACTAAACATAGATCAAGATTATAAGATCTTTCTGGCGAACAACTTTTCGACGTTACAGAGTACCGCCACATATAACTATGTTGGACATAGGACTGCTGCAGTCGTGATATTGGATGGAAGATAATGGCAGGAAATGACTTTACAAAGAGGATGTCATACATTTGAGAAGCTGAAACCTGATATTATATGAAAATCTATGGCATTGTGTTGGAACACATGAAGTATCTGCTGATACGAAGCACGAAGATAACTGAAGGTGATGCTGTGTAGTTCAAGGTATAACCACTTTCCAAGAGTTGATCTAATTTCTTGTAGTACTCGGTTATAATTATAGTAGATGTATATATAATGTAGTTCAATAGTAGAAAATAAGCTCAATGTGAGTGAAGTTGTAAGTATAATAATGGGAATATATCGAGGTTTTTCTAATGTTCATGCATGAACACAAGTTCTTAGTTAATGTTGTTTTCTTCCACATTCATTAAGCAACCAGATAAGTCCCGAACCATGATCATGTAGCTTTTGAAATTTCAATTGCTGAATATATGGTTTTGAAACCCATTTCTTAGATTCAGTTGATATATGATGGAGTTATTTTTTGGTTTTGAAACATATGATTGGCAGATGGAATATGATGATTAAGAAACAGGTTTTTAGCGCCAAAATTCACACCAATATAGTCATGATTCAGAGGACATTACTGTATTTGAAAAATTAGACCATCGGTTCTAATTCACCACTTCTGTATTATATTTTTATACAAAAATATTTAAATGCAAAAGACTCGGTCTTTCGAACCAAACAATAAAATTCAGTTTGTATATAGTTTTCTGGATGGGAAAAAATTACTCATCTTGAATTAAATGGCAATATAAACTATAGAAAATGAATCAGTACACCATCGATAATATAGCTCATACAAACTGAGTTTGTATATAGTTTTCTGGATGTCTGCGGATGATAAAAAAAAAATGCATAAAAAGATCACTATACACTCCTTAATAGCCTGGGAAAATTGGTGGTGGTGAGGATGCATATTGGGAGCCTAAGTTCAGGGGGAGTACGAAGTCTGGCAAGGGTGGTGGTGATTTGCACTGGAGCTAGGGGAGAGTAGACAGGTGGGGGTGACGATTACTGAGGTGAAGGAGGTAAGAGTTTAGGTGCTGGTGGTGGGGGAGAGTTAGCTGTCGGTGGCGGGCCCTGCACCAGAGGTGGAGGAGGTGAGAGTCTGGGTGTTGGTGGTCGTGGTGAGAGTTTAGGTGATGGTGGTGGGGGTGAGTTAATAGGTGGTGGTGGGACTTCACTGGAGATGGAGGAGGTGAGAGTTTAGGTGCTGGTGGTGGGCAAGATTTGACAGATGGTGGTGGGGACTGCGCCGGAGGTAGAGGAGGTGAGAGTTTAGGTGCTGGTGGTGGGGAAGAGTTGACATGTGGTGGTGGTGACTGTACTGGAGGTGGAGGAGGTAGAAATTTAGGTGTTGGGGATGAGGGAGAGTGAACTGGTGGCGGTGGGGAGAAAATTGGTGGAGAGAGTTTAGGTGCTGGCGAGGGTGAGAGTGAGGGTGACTGAATAGGTTGTGAGTAAACTTGAGGTGGGGAGAGTGAACTGGTGGCGGTGGGGAGAAATTCATGCTCTTGCCAAAGACAGCTTGACATACCTTTTCTGATCTCTGTTGTCTCTTTGCCCAAGCAATTAGTTTTGTCGTCCAACTGAACATCAGCAACTTCATTAGGTTGGCACATTTGGTCTTTTGCCACGAAATAGTTGGAAGAGTGAAAATTTTCAAATTTGGCAAGCTGCAAATGCTATCAGGGACCTTTCCTCTAAACATATTGTTTGCCATGTCTACGACTTCCATATTCTGCAGGTACGCCAAGTCTACTGGCAGATCTCCAATCAACTTGTCATTGCTGATATCAATTACATTTGTGCCATTCAACAGAGTAATTATTCAGGCAAGCAACCAGAAAGAGCATTGTTCGAGAAAGGGACCTAGTCCAATGTGTTCGGCTTGGAATGGCATCCGATGGACTTCTTGTTAGAGTGAATAGCTGAAGTTTTCAAGGATGGTGGAGTGGAACCGGTTGTGGTTCACAAAGATAGCTTCAAGGTGCTTGTTGAACAACTCTGGAAGCGACGGTCCTTCAAAATCAATGAACCTAATGTCGAGGTACTTGAGGTCTGGTAACTTCAAGATGACATGGGGAAAAGGTCCAACGAACCAATTGTTACTGAGACCAGCTCGAAAAGGATTGTTAGTTTAGAGACGCTCTTAGGAAACACTCCACAAAATCTATTGGAATTCAGGTGAACAAGGCTTACATCGATGAGAAGCCCAATTTCGACAAGAGGTGCCCTGCAATGTCAGCATGGTTCAGGTCGACACCAGCAACCACATTCAATTTGGTCGTCTAGAGCCTCTGCTCGAAAAACACAAACAACTACTTCTTTAATGAGAATCTCATCAGATATACAATAAGCATCATTAATAGAATTATAACCTACATAAATTTACATCAAACAAGTTCTAGGAAATTGATCATTCCTATATCCACTTTTGATTATCAAGCCATGAACTCCACTTCCCACTCGAAGATCATTATATGCTCAAACAAGTCGATTCCAAGCTCATCATGTAAAAACATTGGTAAAGAATCATTTTCTGTTCATCATATTAAGGCCCTGTTTGGCACCCATTTTTATCAAAATGCATTTTTCTCTCTCTTCTTTTCAACCACACATTCTTTATTAAAATAATATTACACGTAAATCAAAAACTTTTTCTTATTTTTCAACCACACATTTCCCATCAATTTACTATTCAAAAATAAATTTTCACATAAAAATTCCTACCAAACACCCTCTAAATAGCCACTGCGCTTCCTCAACAAATCCATTATTAGAATAACTTGACATTCCATGACACAACATTCCTCACATATATTTTGTCCAACACATATCTAGCAACAATCAAACACCCAATATTCAAATACAAGTCAATAGAAGCTGTCTCCACAAAAACATTGTCTTTGAATTTTTTTTCTTAATCCAATAACAATGTACTAATTTTCCCTTCTTGGCAAACCCCAATTTTCCAAAAGCTGGCAAATAATAGTTATCGTTAACTCATTTGGCTAATTTCTTTAACGATCATTTCATCGAAGGCCTCAATAACTTCAAAACAAGGCCATTTTTTGTGAATCCAGATACTAACTGTCCAAGAAACTAAATTTTTGTACAAAATTTGAGAAAACATTATGCGGGCGTCCGCCATGAGCCCACAAGATGCACATGAATTCACCAATTTGTTGTACAAAAAGATATTGCAAGAAACACCAGAGGTTATTATGTCGGCATGAACTTGATGCAGATGCTTCGTTTATCTGAGTCCTTGTACTGAAGCACGTAATCTTTGGGTTGAATAATTATACGAGATTTGAGGAAAAAAATTGAAATTCAACTAAAATGGATTTTTTTTGGCGCCAAGAGTGTCGGTAAGGTACTCCGGTGGCGGTTCTTTCTCGACCTGTTTGAGCCACATTATTTCAAAAAAATGTATTTTTAAATAGTGATTTGACATCGTTTCAATCACACATTTTTCAATAAAATAATATTACACGTAAATCAAAAACTTTTCCTTATTTTTTAACCACAAATTCCCCATCAATACACTATTCAAGAATGCATTATTACCAAAATAATATGGCTCAAACACCCCCTTAGTCTATAAATCAAGGAAAATACTTATTGTATATCACATTTACATAATTTTTTATATATTGATGAGGTGTCAAAAAGAAAGTGAGGGAGGATATTTTTCGATTACACTACGAGTGCATTTGATTGCCTATATTTTTCATGGAAAATGTGTTTTTTCACCAAAATTCATACTTTTGTGCTATTTGATTCTTATTTTTTTTTCCACTTTTGATCACGTGACCATATTTTCCTCAAAATCAAGGAAAATATTTTTTTTAGGAAGAATATGATTTTATTTTCCACCGAATTCACTCTCTCTTATTTATCCACTCTCTTTCATTTAAAATATTTTCTAGATTGAAAATTAAATCAATCAAACACATTTAATTGACAATTTCCATACAAATAAATTATAGACAATTAAATTACCTAGAATTTATTTTCTTTCCATGCAAATTCCATGCTTGCAATCAAATGCATCCTACATGTATAAAATGGTTTACATACACATGATTTAGTGATATATGACGAATTTTCTACTTGTATATAAAAATGGTATATAAGCGGTTGTTCAAAATGAAGTGGATGAAAAAGATTGGATGAAAGAGTTAGTTGTGTTTTAAATTGATAAATGATCGAGTGTCATGATGACATTATTTATTCTCTTATATGACCTAATGTACATATAGCAATATCCATATATGATTGAGTCGAAATTCTTCAACACAAAAAATAAAAATAAAAAATAAATAAATTCTCCACCATCTTTTCTTATCAAATATTGTCATATCATTTATTGGTAAACAAATCTGTAAGTTGTGAATTACATATAGCACAACGGAACTGAAAAATATTGATGGTTGCCTACAAAGAAAATACTCAATGTCGCCAACCAATCGATCTAACCATCAAGTAAAAGTTGTGCTTGTATTTTCAATTCCATGTAAAGTTACTTTTTTTTAATAGAGAGATACCTTTTAAGTTTTATTGATGAAAAAGTAATTTTAATGACTATCCGTGGATTTGGGATGGAAAATCGACGAGGCACTCGTCAACAGCAAAGTACTTGTGTTAGTTGCTAATTGACTCGCACAAATTGGCTCACGATGTTTAGCTCAAATTCACAATAAAATTAAAAATTTGCAGACTATGAGCAACTTGCCCATCAAGGAATGATCTCGTGGGATGATTCCAGTAACACTTCAATAAAGGAAGTTAGCTTGCATAATGGGTCGAGTCGGGTGGCTCAACTCCAACCATTTAACACCCTTACAAATTACAATGCATCTCTTTTGGAAAAATAAGTATAGCCGAACACTCTCATTCCATTGAGCTTTTGAAGTAGGGGAAAAAAAATATTATTCCATAAAAACTCTGTACTTGCGAGTGTTGGATAGAATAAAGAAAAGAACTTTTAGGAAAAAATAATTTGAGTAAATCAAATCTTTATCAAATAAGAATTATCCCTTTTTTTTTCTTTTTTTTTTTCTTTTTTTAAAATATATTCTACTTTCACCGTTAAAATAGAAACCCTTTTGAAGAAATCCTTCAAAATTTTGCCGCACCCGACAAATCCATTATGAAGAGGCCGAGTCTTCATCTTGAACAAGTAGTCTTCTGGGATTGAAATTTTATACGAGAAAGGTGCTTCTCATAAATTTTTCTTGATGAAAATGGAAGAAAGACCCGATTTACCAGCTAGATTTTTCAAGGTTATTTTGCCCTCAGTTGATAGCCAACGAAAACTGGTAACATTCTGACCAAGAAAATAATGAATCTTTTATTGCAAATAAGTAGTTATATTTTTCTGATGTTTTCTTGAATTGGGTTGGGCTTCGTTTCTTGAAGTTAGCATAGTTGATAGGAACTGAGTGTTGAATGTTGTTGTGCTCTTATTTATAGAAGAAGCATTTGTATCAAATTAACTAAACAGGCCCAAAAATAGCTTTTGAGTCCTTTTACCTTATCAAAAGCCATGCCAAACGGCCTGAAGTGTGTTAAGATGATTCAGATTCTTGTATTGAGTGTCAGCCCAAATTCAGTTTCTTTTAGCATAATTGTAGTGCTGCTAAGAAGTTTAATTAGCTTGAATAAGTAGGGAAATGTTCTCGAATTTAGTAATAATGCTTTTTAGTTGCTTTGGATTTTTTCTCTGCAACATGGGATATTTTTATTAAGTTTATAATCAGATAATGGCAACCAGGATATTCATATGACATGCGTGATTGATCCTATTCCTATTTAACCCATCTCCTGACAAATATCCTAAGTGAGGTGGACTCAAGGCAAGATCTTCTTTGTCCCTTGATTTTTCAATTTGTCCGAATCCCTGTAGGCCTTCTTCTCCTAATTACGAGAAAGACAGAGGAAAACCGCTTCTTTCTGATTTTCCTCTCTGGCTTGACTCCACATCATCCTGCAATTTTGGCCAGTAGTGTAGTAGGTATCATCTTGGGAGTTGCCGGTGCAAATCCCCGCACTTCCTTTACAGTCTTATGACTGTATGGGGCATTTTGTTGGAACCTCATGGCTAAGGATAAGGTAATGGAATTGATAGAAAAATTCATAGACCTAGGTAGGATAGGAGAATTGATAAAGGGAATAGAGATGATGATAGATTCAGTCAAGCCACCAGCTATTGATTGGATGAACTTCGCACCCTCTTTGCCGATTGAAGAAAGCCTTTCCTTTGGTCTCGTCGTGAGTAACCTTCCGCACCCACTGAATGAACGTAGAAAACCGATCCTTAAGCTAGTCTAGCTTCTGGAGTTAGAGCTGAGTGAGCCCTCGTGCCTGGGGGGGCTCATTAAGAATACTACATAATATCTCTACTCTGGACCTGGTTAAGATGCTGCCCTTGCTCTGTCAAGGTGAAGCAAGGATGGGAAATTGCTAGTGGTGGTTTACTCTGGAGGTAGTACCATGTCGAATTTTTGCTCTTCACGAAGGAGATCATTGTTTGGTGAAATTCCGCAAGAATACAAAATCGTTTGGTTAACTACTAGTATCATTCTAATTATTATCTAAAGTTGTATTAAAACTATATATGAGAAAGATGTGATGAGACTCCGAATATGCCTATTGTTTCCCATTTCAACTCTCAACCTATGTTATCTAATATAATTTGTGTATCATGGACAACATATAATTCAATTTCATCCAACCATTTCTTCCGAGGGAAGCCAAACTTATTCGTAAGCACGATCCGATAATATCCATATCTCGAATTCGTATGTGAAGTAATGCATTCATATACACAATCACCTATGTGATTGCACAAGTTAAACTATTATTTCTAACGTTTATTGAGCCTTGTGTTAATATTAATGTTCTAGACTTATTTCGAACCTCCTAAAAGTAAAACAAGCAAATAATTCTTTAAATGGTAATTAAGCATTCAAATAATTCGACAAGCATGCAATATCAATCAACAAGACAAATTAACTAAATTAACGACGGTCTTTAAATTAAAATAGTAAAACAAAAGGTTTCATGTTCATCCCAACACAACACAAATTAACTAAATTAACGACGGTCTTTAAATTAAAATAGTAAAACAAAAGGTTTCATGTTCATCCCAACATAAGATTGTCTAGCCTAACATCTCTACAATGACAATAAGGGTGTATTTGATCATAAGCATGGAATTTACGTGGAATGAAAATAAATTATAGGCAATTAAATTGCCTAAAACTTATTTGCATGAAAATTGTCAATTAAATGTGTTTAATTGATTTAATTTTCAATCTAGAAAATATTATGCGTCTCCATATTTGTATTAGTAGGTATATGAGAGAGATGAGGTAGATGAGAGAGAGAGAGATTACTTGGAAAATAAAACTTGCTCCACTTGATGTAGTACAATTAAACTACTAGTTTTTTTATTACAATTATGTTTTCTAAGAGTTTGTCTTTTAATTAAGTTTATCCATTTAGTTGAAATAGGACTTTTATATTTTATTTGATTAGGACTTCTATATTTTAGTTGAGTAGCATTATAGTTTCCTTATTTCAATTTTCTAATATTATTAGGAGTTGGGGATAATTTGCCTATAAATAAAGGGGTCATGTACAATTTTCAAATCGATCAATTATTCTTTAATCAATACAAGCAAGTTATTCCTAGATATTTTTTTATTCCAATTCTTATTGTAAGAATTTTATCAATGCTTCCTCACCACCAATTAAAGAAAATATTTTTCTTACTTTCAAGGAAAATATGGTCATGTAACCAAATGTAGGAAAATGTTTCCCATGGAAAAAATATCAATCAAACAGTACAAAAGTAGGAATTTTGGTTGAAAAATGACATTTTTCATGAAAAGTATTGGCAATCAAATGGACTCTAAAAAAATTGGAATTCCTTACCCAAAATGTATAAACGAAAGAAAAAGATGTGAAACCAATTTCTTGCTTTGAATATTCAACAGAAAATTACAACAGTAGTCCCCTAACCTTTCACTTTTTGCAACTTTACCTTAACCTTTAGTTTGTGTTAGTAAAGGTCCCTTACCTTTCATAAATTAGCAGTTGGGGTCCAAATGGACTTATCCATTTGACCGTTAGTTGACCAAGAAAAGTGGACTTTAACCAATACCAAATTCAAATACTGACAATTAAAATAATAAAATTAAAAAAGTCTATCCCACCACCACCCCTCATGAAAAACAGAATGGCCGGTGCACGGCACCCCTAAATCAGAAATGAAAGAAAAAAATCACTACTATCCCCTTTCCTTCTTCCCTACTCCCTCCTATACCAATGATCTCCCAAAGGCAACAACTTCAACTTAAAAAACATAATATTTTGTATTGTACTGAAAAGATAATAAAATCCCAAAAGTCAAAACAATAAATAAATATCAAAAATTAACATTTACTTGTAAAGAAGTTTGTACATGTAATATATACACACAGAAGTTGTAAAGTTAATCAGGGCTATCTTGTGTATACATATTTTGGAGTGCTTTGAAAGAAACTTGAAGTTAGAGCTTTGATTTTTATCCTTCGTTTTGGATTTTTCAAATGTTGAGTTTTCAAATTTTTGATATTGTTGAAGGCTTAAGATGTGGAGAGGTGCGAGATACGTGGTGGCTAGTCTTCGACAGCCATGGCTGCGGTTCTCGATAGCGATTCCTAGACCTTGTATTATGCACAAGGGTGGAGCTGATATTTTCCACGATCGATGGTTTAACTTGATGGTTATGCGATTGCTCCTCCTTTGTTGGTTAGTTATCTAGTTATAATTCTATGATTATTTGGTTTGTGGTGAATTTGATGCATTGATTTGGTTATTTTTTGGATAGAAATTTTCAATTTTCATATCAATGTCGTGGCTGATTAATGAGCTGAAAGGTCGATGAATGTGATGATTTAGAGCTGTAATGAGGGAGATGAGGTGAATGGCGGTGAGAAAGATGGAGTTTGAGAGAGGTGGAGATGAAGTGAATGGCAGTGGCACTGCCGGCAGTGAGTGGTAGGATGGGTTTTCCCTATTTTTGGATAGGTGGGGGCGGATAGGGTGGGAAGAAATAGGTGCAAAAAGGCTATTTTTTATTTTTATTTTTTTAAATATTAAAATTGTAAAGCTACTACTTTGCCCCTTTAAAATTTGGTCAAAATCAGCTTCTTTGGTCAACTAATGGTCAAATGAATGTTTTCCATCCATTTGAACCCCAGCTATTAATTTATGAAAGGTTAGGGAGCTTTGCTGGCACAAATTGAAGGTTAGGGTTTTCAAAAAAATTGGAAGGTTGAGGACCGTTGTTGCAATTTTTCCAATATTCAACTTCAAGCCTTGAATCTCCAATCCCTTGATGTTGTTTTACCTTTAATCCTTTGCTAGTTTTGATCTCTACAATATAGTATGAAAATATTAAAATTGGAGGCTCCCATTTGGTTAAAACATCACCCAAATTACTTTTGAAATGGTGGACAAAATTGGAAAGGAAAGGAAATAAAATCGTTTCCCCATATAAATGGAGATAGCATGTTACAAAAATTTTGGCTTCTGCTTCTACAAGAATGGCTCTTGCGACAGCACTTATTTTGTGTCATGCGATCACATGGCACAATGTATTTTCCTCTTTTTGCAATTTGGTCCTTAAATTCAGCTTCCTATCAAGCTTACAATTGGAATTAAAGTCATACATCTTCTAAATTGTATCACACTGATCTCCATTCTCAAAATAATGCACCAAATACGTCCTTTTTGCCCAGTTTTCATTCATTTTCTCCAAAAACTTGTCCAACATCGAGTTTTAACTAAACAAAAAATATTTACACGAGATTAAGCAATAATTCCCTAAAAGTACTTCCCAATATCTATGGTTAATGGCCTACATAAGTGTATAAATAAACTTATCCCCTGTTTGCCACCCATTATTTGGAAAATTAAAGAGTTGTCAATAGTATTTTTATGGAGAATGTGTAGTTAAAAAGTAAGGAAACTTTAGTGTGTTTGATTGGCATTATTTTTTATGGAAAATGTCATTTTTCCACTCAAATTCCTACTTTTTGGGTGTTTGATTGGCAATTTTTCCATGAAAAATGTTTTTCAACTTTTGGTCACGTGACCATATTTTCCTCAAAAACAAGGAAAATATTTTCTTTAGGGAGATGTGATTTTTATTTTCGAGGTAATTCACTCTCTCTTTCTCTCCCATCTATCTCCTTTCTCTTTCATCTACCCACCAATAAAAGAAGACAAGTATTATAATTTCTAGGTTGAAAATTTAATCAATCAAACTCATTTAATTAATAATTTCCATTGAAGCCTAGAACTTATTTCCTTTCCATATAAATTCCATGCTCACAATCAAATACACCCTTATTGGTTTGTGTGTAAAATATTTTATTGTGCGAATGTATGATGAAGAATGTTACAATAGCAAATAATTTAGAATTTTAAGGGATGCCGAACATGTACTTATTAATCATTCTCTTAGGCAATTTAATATGCATATACATCATAATTGCTATCTTGTTTCTTTTACAAAATTTGTGTAATATTCCCTCAAATTACGCGCTTGCATTGGTGGCGGAGAGATCATTCAAATTTGATCTTCACAGGCATGAAGTACCTAGGAGATTCTTAAGTTTTTTGCACTTTACCATTTTCATAACATTATATGTAATAATTGTCAATTCAGCTTTCTTGCAATGCAAAACCCCTTTTTTTTTTTTTGGTAGAAGCAGTTAAAGATAGATATTTGATTTTGCACGAGTTATAAAGAAAACTATTCTCCTTGATTTGTAGTTGAACTTTGATGATACCGGAGAAAGTGTGAATTGAGTTAAAGTCTTTACCCGTAGAACTAGGTCAATCATCGCATGAATAGTCTTTGTAATAATGTTATGAAAATCCAAAAGGGAATTAGGAATATTGCTCGAATTATAAAATAATGGAAATACACGTAACAATAAAAGAAAGAAAATATGGTTGTTGACGTAGTAGCAGTATTGGAAGCAATTGAGACCTGTATTGCACACAGTTTCCTTAAAATAAATTTGCTTCCACTGTATTGCAAGAGGACTCATGGCGTTTGTCTCCCAAAATACCTGTTGAAGGTAGTTGACTAGCATTTTGTCACTACTTTAGGCGAATTGAGAAGGCTTACAATTCTACCACCAAGCTAGAAAATAATCATCTAAGCTATAAAGAACAAAACTCTTGAAAGCAAAGAGAGGAGAGAGCTCTCAAAAGTTTTTGGTGTGAGGAATAAAGAGGAAAACACCTCATGGAGTACTAGAATGAGGGAGGTTTCAATTCTTATTAATTTTGTATTAAAATCAAAATGTTACAATAGCCATTGGAGCGACACGTTATAATAACCATCAAGGCTTTGTAACCACCAATCCAATACAAAATTAACTAAAGAATTGAAATTTGAAATCAAAAGGTTTTGTTACAATTATTCATTCACAATTCATTTTATATTGAATTTTTTTCCAATAAATTATTCATTCATAAGATTTTTACATGTGCAGTCCCTTTTTTCATTCTGTCATTTAGAATATATGATTCATGTCAATTTTGAGTGTTAATTTCTCTTATTTGTTCATTCATGGATTAACTGTGGAACAAAGGCTTTTTGTAAAGGGAAATCTTACCTAGGAGACTTGATGAGGCAAATATGTTAGGAACCTGGAAGTAGCTGTTAGAGTTCTTGCGGTCTGGTGTGCTGCTGCAGCGCTGTGTTCACTCCTGTGAATGCTGCTGATCAAAGATTGGTTAGACTGCAGACCAGTTAATGGAAATAATACTGCAGGGTTTCAGAACTGGAGTGTGATGTACTGTAATAGATATTGAATGGCAGAATGGTCAACGACTGTAAATGAACTGATAAAATGGAACAGAAATGAAAGACTCTCCAAGGCATTCGAGAGGCCTGGAACTCTCCTCCTAGACTCACAAACTACTTAATATTTGCATAACCATTCTGCTTCCTCCCCTATTACATTTATACTACTACTTCCCCCTTATTCCCCAAACTACCCCTGATAACTAATTAGAATTGGAACACTCTAGAATATGGCATAACAAACTTGAATGAATAACGTGGGGGTCTTTCAAAATGTCATAAGGAACATTCATGATTTTATTTTTTCTAGTTGCATTGCAGATCAGCACAAAATTTTGCCATCTTGACTACAAGTACTATTAAACATCGTTTTTCTTGACTTAAGTGATAACTAAATAGAGTTTAAATATAATATGTATTTGTGCAGAGGATCCCTGATAAATTTGTTGGAAAATATGGGCACGAACTCTCTGATGTTGTCAGACTTGTGGATCCTATCAGTGCTGTTTCATATGTCAGATTGGAAAAGACGGAAAAGACACTCTGGCTTTGCGATGGCTGGGAAAAGTTTGTGGACGACCATTTCATCAGTTATGGGTACTTTTTACTCTTCAAATACAGAGGGAACTCAACCTTCAATGTTAATATATTAGACTTGACGGCCACAGAGGTTGACTATTCACTTAATAATAGTCGTAATTTTGAAAGAACCAATCACTGTACTCGGATTTCTATTTCCGAAAAGGAAGAGAATAGTAATGATGAATCTGTTGAAGTTCTATCTTTCTTCCCTCGCAAACCAAATGAATGTGGGGTTAGGGCAACAAATAGTAGAAGACATCATCACCAGACTACGCATGATTTGTCTTTTTCATCAAAAGAACTTGCCCATGAAGTTAAAAGGGGTAAGATTGATGCAGCCGAGAGGTCAAAATCCCAGCATTGCTATCTTACACGAAACAAATGTAAAATAGAAGATGAGGGAACTAAAACTGAGTGCGAAAAACCTAATATCACTATCAAGAATGTTCAAGAGACAATTCCATGTACTGAAGACAATCGACAATCTAGTTCAAGTAAGTTCTTTACCGTGAGTTTTGTTTGATTTCTATTTTGGTGAGTCAGATTTCTTTTTGAAATGTTTACCTTAATTTAAATTGGTGAAATATAGATGGCTCGTGTATTAAAAGTCACTCGGGAAAGAAGGCCATAGATGCTGCTGCAAAATATTTGCCTAAAGGCCCTTCATTTGCCGTCAAGTTGAAACGAAACAATCTATATCCACACTTTTGGATGGTAAGCTCTTGAGGTTTGTTACTGGATTGATATATCATGTTGATTTCTTGACTCTCCGAAATTGAGTCTACTATGTTCTATCATCTATGTGTAGCCTTCATTTGACCCTAACATGGTGCAATTTTTCTTGTTTATATAGTACGTGCCAACCGCATTTTCTCAGTATCTGCCAAGTGCTCCAGGGCTTATTGTACTTGTTGATTCAGATGGCCAGAAGTGGCCAGTCCGTGTAAAGCAAAAAAAGGGAGCTAAGGACAGATATCTATCAAAAGGATGGAAGGCATTCGTCAAGCTAAAAAATCTTAAAGTTGGTAATACGTGTGTCTTTGAGCTAATCGACGCCAATAAACACATGATAAGGGTTTCCACCTTTAGCAACACGAGCAGAGTTGGAAATTGACTTCAATTGATCTGAATCAAGCAGCGGACAAGATAGAACGGAATATGAATAGTGACATTTTCCCCCTTCTTTGGAGAGGCATTTGAACTTGGGAACAACCTGTTTATATCAACTGCAATAGGATTCTGAGTTACCAAACCTTCAATTGATTCAAGATTTTTGTACTTTTATTTACTTTGAAATTACTAGCAATTTTTTTTATTATAATACTTTGTTGTACTTTTATTTGATTTCTTGCATGAGGGAGTTGAATAGAATTGAAAATACAAAAGTAGCCGAAGAAAGCTTATTGAATGAATCTTGTCCCTGTCTATTTGATGAACTTCACGATCTATAGCACTTCATTTTAAAGAATCTCTTCATTTTTTTTTTTTCAAAAATTAAGAAATAAACTAACCTACACAAAACTCAATGACTGATTTTCTTATCACATAAGCCTAGTGAAAGAATTGAAACAAGATGCAATCAATCATATGGCAATTCCATGTACTCGAGGCAATCCAAGATCAAGTTCAAGTTCTCGAGAGTAAGTTTTGTTTAATTATCTACTTTGGTCATTTAGATTGCTTTTAGAAATGATTTCGCCATGTTTGCACCCCCCCCCCCCCTTTCCCCCCCCCCCCCCCCCGAAATGAAAATGGGTGGAATATTGTTTTTTTTTTTGAAAAATTAGTGGTTGAAAAAGAAAGAAAAATTTTCGTCTTACGTTTCATATTATTTTATAGAAAATAATATTGTTATTGAAAATAGGAGAGAGAAAAATGAAATGGAATTTAACGTGGGCCAAACGGGGGTGAATCCTTATTTGACCTTGACATGGTGCAAATTTTTCTTGTTTCTGAAGAATGTAGCTGCCGCATTTGCTAGGGAGTATATGTCAAGTTGTCCAGGGCCTATCGAACTTCATGATTGTGATGGTAAAAAGTGGCTGGTCCATGCCGGTGCAAGAAGTGGTCTGGTGCACGCAGGGGCGGATTCAGTACCTGGCGAGCTATATATATATATATATAGTTGTGTGTAGGTTGAATGAAACGGTATGCAGAGTAGATGGACTGACAACGCTTTTCCATTTAATTAAACATGGGTTCGAATTCTTTTAACAGCCCTCTGCCTTTTGATTTTTAAAATTGTAAATAATGATTAATATTAATTAATAATGGTACTAACATCCAGCAAAAGGAAATAAAGCTCATGTGGCAAAAAAGTCACTCTTTACATGTGAGAGAGATGGGGATCAACTCCATGTACTTTCACTTTTTTGTTTAGATTTTTAATACAATAAATAATGACTAAACAATTATATATTACTAATTTTCATTTTCAAAATAATTTCTATTACGCCCCTAACTAAACCACTTCTGAACATCAGGCATAGCACTCTCCGAAGTGCCACGTGTCCATCCTAATCCGAAGTGCCCCCTGATGCCGAAGCGTTAGACACTCCGAGGTGCTCCTTTAACAGATCCCTCTTTTTATCGTCACTTTCAGAAAAGTATCTGTGTCAGGATCCTCTCTGCCTTGAAGGATTAATTGATGTGATGTCTACATAGGTCTAGTTGATGTGACGAATCAACTTTATGTCAACTCAACTTAGAAGAATTAATTGCCCGCCCACTTTAGACGCGGCTGATTGACGCCTATGAGCGGACGCCTCACATCGTTGGATGCATACACCTGTTCCACATCCAACGGTACTCTATGTCTATAAATACCCAAGGTTTGACAAGAGACAAAGGTAATTAAACTTTCACAACTTAGTTCTCCATACAAAGAAATATATATTCTCCTCCCCACTCTCTTGCATAACTTGAGCACTGTTCCGATCACCCAATACTGACTTGACCGTCGGAGTGTATGCGGCCACCACCACCCACGCTAGTTCCGGCTGCGTGCTTCTGACTGTGCGTTGTTGTGCGTAAGGAGGATTATGTAGAAAGGCTATCCGTTGGCCACGTGGAGGTCCAATTCGCGAGATCAATAGATTGACGCCGTCTGTTGGAACTCTTCCCGTCCAAAAGTTTCACATTTTTCATTGAAAAAGCCACCGTCAAACCATCAACTTACCCTGAAAAGGGCACGTTCTTGAAAAAGAACAAAGTGAACCCACAATCAAAGTTCTTAACACCCTTGAAAAGGTAGACAAAATGAGTTCTAGTAATAAGGATGCAAATCCTGGGCTTAGAGAGGCCTTTGAAGAAGAGGTGCTCCGAAACAATGTAACTCACCGGAGACCCCATCACCGTTGTCATCGAGATGAAAGGATAGACATGCTCACCGCAGGAATGGCCTAAATAGCTCAGGCATGAGGAATATTGCAGCTCAGAGTGTGGCGATGCGTGAGTTCTTCATGCAGGCCCAAGGTCATCAGGGTTTCTAGATGCCCCAAGGATCTTACCCAGCTCAGGAAATTTCGGCATCTCATGGCGGAGGCCATTCTAACCAATGCAGGGAACACCCATTCGAAAGAGAAGTAGGTGTAGATGTCACATCCTATGCACAGGGAAGCCAACCAGCGGAACCATAGCTAGGAGATAACTTCCCACCAGAATACGAACCAGAAAGGTCGATCAGTGTTTTCGACCGAATAGGGTGGAACCCTAGCGATAGGGTCTGCTCTGTGCAAAGATCCGTTCGGTAAGAGCAAGAAGAACAAGCACCTCCTCCGCCTAGAAATAGGCGGGAGAGAAGGAACTTAGTCAATTGGGGTAGTAAGGGGAAGCTCCTCCACCTCTCCAGAACGTGCAAGATGATGAAGGCTCCGAGGGGCCATGTCGATCTTATGAAATTGACGATGATGATGACAACCTCACTTTCTTAAAGGAGATCCAGAGCTTCCCAATGTCTCAAAATTTCATGCTCCCTAAAATCCCTAAGTATGAGAGAAACAGGGACCCAGAAAGCACCTCATCAAGTACATGACATAGATGAGCCTTAGAGAAGTCTCACCCGCATTGAAATGCAGGGCCTTCCATCTAACCCTTGTCGGAGCCGCCGAAGTATGGTACAACAGGTTACCACCTCTGAGCATCAGAAGTTGGCCAGATTTGAAAAAGATATTTCTGAACCAGTACTTCTCACAAAAAGAGGGAGAGGCTCCAGTGTAACACCTGCAGGGTATGAGGCAGGCCCCTGGAGAGATGTTGAAAAGTTACCTCGCCAGGTTTACCGACGAAATCACATACTGCAAGCAAGTCACTGACAGGGAGGCCCTTTTAGCCTTGAAAGGTGGACTCAACATGAACACTTTGTTCTGGAGGGATATACGCAGCAGGAATCCCACCACCTATGATGAACTGGTAGAAATGATGAGAGTGGAGATTGTCAATGAAGAGATGATTGACCATCGAAACCGTGCAGCGCAAGGACTCCCTCCTCCTCAGAGGCAGGTAGGTCGAGGACCAGTAGCGCACCTCATCACCCAGCAATGGATCCAAGTAGGACACATAATAACTCCCACATCGAGACAAGCATTGGCTTCTGCCACGCAAAATGCAGTGCCGGTATTGGCATATGAGAATGCCCTTGCCGAGGCGAGACCATCCAAAGGCACAAACAGCAATCGAAAGAAAAAGAAGAAGCGATCAAATAGACCCTTGGAAGAGGCAAGGTTCTGCACCTTTCACCAACTTTACGGACATGACACCAGCGAATGTAGGGATGCCCCTCGATCCTCGAATCGAAGTAACCCACGTTCCTCGAAAAAGGGTGAATATCCCTGTAGGTCCACCTTCCCGAATAGGGGAGAAAAGTGATACAGAGACCAGTCACCCCGGAGAAGAGAACCCAGGGATAAAGGAGAATCCAGGCATAGAGATCAAGCCCCATCTGAAGGCCAAGTCATCATGAAAATTGATACAATCATTGGGGGCCCCACGTCGGGGGTAATACCAGAAACGCCCAGAGGAACCACACAAGGGAAGCAAAGGATCTACCAATGATCACTTACATTTTTAATCAATCCCAAAAGGCCAAGAGGATGGCCCCAATCACTTTCTCTCAAGAAGATGCACAAGGAGTTCATCACCCCCATTGTGATGCGTTAGTAATAAGAGCCGTAGTGGCTCGAAACGGACTCAAGCGCATGCTCGTCGACAATGGCAAAATGCAGATTGAAAATGGGTTGATACCGATGACCGACCCGCTATTTGAATTCACCGACGATAGCATCGTCCCACGAGAGCGAATTACTCTACCTGTCGAGATGGGGTCAGCCCCCTAGTAGCCCACCACTTTATAGAGTTCCTGGTGGTAGACTACAGATCGGCTTATCATGGAGTATTAGGCCAACCTACCTTGAAAGATCTTTGGGCAGTCACATCCATCCATTACTTGTGTATAAAGTTTCCAACGGAGCATGGGATTGCTACAGTTCGAGGTGACCAGATGGGCTCAAGAGCATGTGACCTCAACTCTCTGTGAAAATCTGAACCCCGCAGTGTTAATGTTATTATAACAGAGGTCGCCAATGAAGTTGACATGGACGTAGAAATGCTTAACGCTCCCGAACAAGGGTATACCTCCGAACAGGAGGAAAACGTCAATATGGCAGAGTCCCATGAAGAAGGGAATCCTCTTGATGAGTTGGACCATCGAATTATCGAGTCTGAATGAAATGAGACCCCAATAGAAGAATTGGAAACTTTTCCCATCAACCATGAAGACCCCACTCAGGTCTTGCGGATTAGAAAAGCACTATCCCCCGAAGTGAAAGAAGAAACGATGAGCTTTCTGAAAAAGAACCTAGATGTCTTCGCTTGGTAGCACGAAAACATGGTGGAAATAGACCCAAGAATCCGTTTCCACCACCTTACGAGACACTCAAAGAAGAGGTCAACAAACTCAGCCGCAGCGACTTAATCAGGGAATCCATCTATCCGAAGTGGATATCCAACCCGGTCCTTCTGAAGAAACCTAGCGAAAAATGGAGGGTGTATGTAGACTTCACAAATTTGAACAAAGCATGCCCTAAGTACAACTTCCATCCCCAAGGATAGACCAACTGGTGGAATCCACTGCTAGAATACAACCAGATACCCATGTTTTGACCTGATGCCCATGTTCCTACCTGATGAGGAATCTACATTGTTCATCACAGACAGAGGATTGTATGGCTATAAGGTGATGCCCTTTGGATTGAAAAATTCTGGAGCTACATATCAGAGGCTGGTCAGCATGACATTTGTCGAGCTCATTGGCAAAACCATGTAAGTCTACGTGGACGAC